CTTCCATGACGGATATAATCGTCAAACACACTTAACTGGTTAAACATTATTAGGAACTTAGAAATTCACGATTAAAAACATAAAATCCTTCGCTTTTACACGTTGTTCATTCCGATCCGACTTCCAATTTCAGAGAGAACGTCGTATTTTTGTACAAAATTTTAATATCATTGTTAACATATTTTTCCTGGAAATGCAAATGTTTGTGCCAGAAAATATAAAACGATTAAATTAATTAATAAAGTAACTTCCGCTGCTGGTGTACAAATAAAGGAACGAACGAATATTCCTTTTTTCGTTCATTTCATTTATTAGCCTGATATTGAAATATTCTCGTTTAGATTGGCCAATGAGACTGATTGAATGATCGAATATTTCTGCTTCGGTTTACATTACCATTTATAAAAAACTGCATGAACTGTAGGGATTATGGGTAAGAAGGGTATATTAATAGCGACACTTTTCTTCTTTTGAAATTATTCTTTTATTAATAAGCATACAGAAAGTATGTCTTTACTCCTAGAGCTCTCCTATCGACTAACGGACGTGACGAACTTTTTTAAAAATCATGAGCCCTGTGTGACTCGTTATGTCTCCTAACGTTTTATATAAAATCGATTAAACAATATATATTCATTTGTCAGAATACATCTTGGTAACCAAACAAGACAAAGGAAGTCGGCGATTGGTTTTTGATCTTATACCGCAACTATAATAACTCCAATATGAACTAAATCAACACAGTATTATTAGTACTTTTAATTAATTATTCGATGTCGGATTGAAAGCCAATTTTCCGGAAACGTGTGACTAAACCTTGTACAAAGTTCCTGTGCTTGATCTAAGCAAAGTCGATTTCCCTCGGTTTAATACGGATCGAGTCCTCTCGTTTACGAGGCCCTTTATCTCTGTAAACCACATCGAGGCTGGTACGGCTGTCGCCAAAGATGGGCCTCGAGATGCGGTTACGGCACGAGGACTCGGTTGTAAGCCACTCGAGAACAAGCGAACAACTTGTGGTGGGGTCTGCTGGTTTTATGCATGCAAATGCCGTGGCACTCGCGTGGTCGAGATGAAGCTTGCCTCGGGGCCGTTTGTTTCGCATAAAGCGTTATCTGCGCCCGGTCCTGCTGTGGGGCGTTTTTCCGTTTTTACGGTTATATCCATACGTGCCCGAATAAACGGTCGGTTATCGGACCTTTGCCTGATACGGCGAGCCACGAATTTCAACCACTCGATATCGGTTCCTAGGAAATCGGGAAGAACCCTGCGAAAAATTCCGCAGTATTGATTCTATGATCTAAAAAAAAAATTCTTATTCAATAATAAGAGGGATTGATAAGGAAAATGGAGATTCATTATTTGTTACGTTTAGTAAACGCATTAGACTGTGTTTCTTTTCATGTGTGTGGAATTATGTGCGAGAATTAGAATCGACCTCTATTCTATCTTTAAATCTTTGCACGAGACGAGATTCGGAGGTCTTTGCAGTCTTATAAGTCTGAGCAGGAGAAAGCGGAGTCTGTACAACGTCACGTAACGTCTTGTCACGTGTTCGAGAGCACCACTTGAGGTCTCTGTTCTCGATCCCTTGCATGAGTGCTGCACGAAGGCCTGCCACGATTGCCTCGCGATCTTCGAACTTCCGCGCGGAGTTTTACCAGCTATAGGTCTTAAAGCAGGCTAAAGCTACAGACCAAACGCGTGAATCAGTAAGAATTATTATACAAAGGAGCGAAGTTATTTGTTGATTTTGTGAAGAAAAATTTTATATGAATTAAAATTGATTTCTTTATAATCAAATCAATGGACAAGTAATAATTTTAGATGGTATTTCTTATTGAGAAATTTGCGCACGTGTGTGTATTCTTGCATCGGTGCAAGCCGTGGCCTTGCGAAATCTGCGAATAATGGAGGTTGCCGGGCAATCTCAAAGGTTTTGAAGCCGAGATTAAGCGGAGCGCATGCGGGCGATCGTATTTTCAAAGCCGGGTCAGCCAAGGGTTCAAGCAGCCGCTGCTGCTCTTTTCACGATTTAAGCTTGACTTGGGCAGCATCTGCAGCTTCATCGCGGTCCCATCGCGACCGTTCCGCTTTCACAGAACTCGAAGCAGCGGTCAGTTTGAAATCAGACTTTACCGTGCGACCCTCTTTTCAACTATTGATGGGTAGATTAGCTATTTGGAATGCTGCAATTTTATTTATCGCTCGAATAGCTTTATTATTTTACTGCAGCTGGAGTCTGAAAGTTGTTCGAGGGAATCAGGGGTTTAAGGACTGTGAAAGGCGAATCAAGAAGACGAGCTCTCTGATATATTTTAACAAGCATTCTGTCTCTCCCTTTGAATTCAACAATTTCTCCCTTTGAGCAATTCGAGATACTCGGAACACCTTGGGAAAAGGGAAGCACTTTTCATTTTCTCGCTGCGTCATTCCTTTATCGATGCCCCGCGCGAAACAAACGGACAACTTTCGTATCGGTTTTCTGTAGGCGTCGTTTTTTCCTCGCTCCCGTCGGCGTCGTCCGCGAACTTGACACGAGTAACCGCGAGACAAATAACTTTTTTTCTTTCTCCCACGCGAGAAGCGTTAGCAGAATTGATATAAAAAAAAATGTCGACGTTGACGAAATCTGTGATCTATCTCCGTTTTCCCAATGATTAGACGTAGACGCTTTTTATTGACCTTTTACCAATTTTCCATTTGGCTCATCTAATTCCGATACGACGTTGCGAATCAAATCCCTGACTGCATTGAAATGGAGTTCCTGATTCGATGTAGAATTCCGTTCTCGGCGCCGGCTACGTATTCATGATTACAACAGCCGGCGACGAACTTGCCCGTCATCAAAACGTACTTCCGTTACGATGGCTGCGCATCGCGAATCACTTTATCGGCGCTTCTTCGCTTCCTCCTTGTCCGACTCGTCTTTTCCTCTGGACGTACGGGAAAGCGGACAGGCGGCGGGAGAGGGACGAAGGGAGCAAAGTTGCACACTGCAAGTGCGAACACGAAACGAAATAGAC